GGGGTCACTGTGTCTATTTATTTTACTGTCTACATTATTTTCTGCCCAGGATGCATAATGGGTAATTTATTGCATAAACAGCGCCTGCTAGAGGTTCTCACCAGCCCTGCAGCTGGTCCAGAGACGCATTGGGCGGACCACCGATGCAAGCCATCTGCTGCCGCTTCCTCCACTCGGATAACTCATCTGATATGAGTGTGAGCTGGACCTGCTCTGCTAGAGTCAGTACATTAGCCATTTCCTTTATCACCACCTGCACACACATTGAGTATACAGTGCTATATTAAGGAAAGCTACACTGTAAAAAAATAAATAAATTGATCAAAATGTTACAACAACATGTTTTACATTGCTTTAATTCAACAAAATAAGTTTTGCAATTTCCAACTTTTTTTAAAGTTATACAAGATTATTATGATTTAAGTTGAAATGACTTAAAGGGATACTTCAGGATTTTGCATTAAGCTTTGTATCAGTAGAAAACCAGTAGTATTTTCTAATTACTGTGCTCCCCCCCCTCATATCCCCCTGATATGAGAGAAAAATACATTTTTAGTCTGAAAAAAATCATCATTTTGCGTCATCTGAGTTTTTTTGGGCCAGCGGCTAAAGACTACAGCCAGTGTTCTGCATGTTTTCACCACGCCCATATGGGGCGGGATCTCACTCACAGAATGTAAGGATCGTGTCAGCCATCTTTCTGTAGAAGCTAAGCTAACGGGCTCTTGCCTCTTGGTCTGTGTAGAATGTTTGAATAGTTAGCTAATCACGATGGTGGAAGGTAGTTTTGAAGTTGAAATGGCAGAAGGGGATTTCGGAGATCTGTTGCGAGAATCTGATGCTCGAGGCTACCTGGACGACCCAGTTGTGGGAGATGGAGGAACAAGAGGTGGCCGACGTGAGACTTGAACCCAGCCAGACTGGAGCTGGGGCGGACTGGCGGGTTAAGTCCTTTCGCTGTGCGCCTATGGAAACAGATAGGGTCCTATTGCTGTCGCGAATCTCAGCGATGCCATTTTCTTCTGTTGAGATCGCTGAATCCGCAGAGCTTTGAGTGTAAAAGTGTTAATATTAATTATTTTTTTAATTAAAAGTTATAACTCACATTGGTTGTGATTCTTTTTATAAACCTTTAGTGTTAGTAGAGTTCGGATTAGCCTAGATAATGTATTAGCTTAGAGTAATAGTGATTTCAATTGGAGGAAAACAGTTCATAAGCAGAGCTACTAAGCTACTGTGTTGACATGGTCCTGCCTTGCATCATATTTTTAATGTGAAAGTCTAAGTCATGTTATTTACATTAGGCTAGTACATCCCGGTACAATGCAATTTAGCACCATTTCGATGGAAATTTATCAAATAACTCGATGTATCAAAGCAAGCCTAGTTGTATCCATTTTTTGGAATCTGCCGCCTGTAACCGGTAGGCGTGGTTTGGGAGTGGCCTCGTAAGGGCAGGCAAAGCAAGTGCATTCTGGGAGTTGTCGTCTTTCAGCACATGAGTAAAAAAAAAGGCATTTTCGGCCTTTTCTCAGTCTAGAATGCTTGAATTTCAAAAATAATTTAACATTTCTATACTATATTATACACATTCATCTTCCCAGAGGTGAAGTATCCCTTTAAACATCCAAGTTGATTGTACAGAAAGATTTAAGGCAGCAACTTTTTTTTACAGTGCTGATTTATATACAGTACATTATAGACATTAACCACATTTCTAGAGTTAATTCTGTGTGAAGATGTGTTTACTGACCTACCTCTGTTTTTGTGTTTAGGACAGTAAACATTTGTTTAATGGCCGTTTCCTCCGTTTGCATCTCTGTTGTTGTCCGACCCTTTGTTTCAGCCTCCACTAATATAAAGAATGATAATGTACATGAAGCTGTCATCTATGAAACACTTCCTCTTGTGTACATTTTTGTGTCATATGTTCTAATTGTCTTTTAATGCCATATTTTTCATTTAGTACTGGCCTTCTGAAGCTACCAACCGACGTTTAAGGGGGCCCTAAAAAGGCGGATATTGACGTATGGTCAAAAAACGTCCCAAGACGTCAGTTATATGACTTTTTGGGATGAGACTGTGTTAAAGCTACATACTTACATGTTTCCTAGAAAACAATACAATTTACCCTGATCATTAGTTTAGTTTCTAAAAGTAACAACACATAGTATTAACAGTCACATTTCAATTTTTTTTCTTGATATAAAAAACAGCTACAATTTTTTTTTATGATCCTCTTATTTTGTTAAAATTATTAACATTTTTCAGATTCTGCAAGGTGGATGTAAACTTTGGGGTCTGATACGATGTACATTATCTATTGCTTCTATTGCTATCTATTATTTTTACACAGAGCAGAGACACTTAATATTGCTCTCATTTTACCTTGACCCTCCAAACTCTCTCTCTTGAAGTCATACTCATATTGCAGATCTTCCAAAACCTGAATGTCCTGTTCTATTTCCTGAAGAGAAAAAAATGGCAGCTATACTGTGTTAAAAGTTTAAAGAAAGTTATTTAATGAAAAATATCCAAACAGAAGAGTCTTTTCTGTATTTGAATGTTCATGTTTTAAGAATGAATGAAGGTGAGAGTAAACTGCCATATTAATTATAGTAAGATAGCTTTACCTGCACACTCTTCTTCAGCTTGTTGACTTTATTGTCCAAATCTTTTTGTTGTTCCATCGTCATAGGGCTACTCTCCTGTGATGAGTCAATATATTATTAGACATGTATACGAATGCCAGTATTAAAAGGTATCAACTTACTTGAGAAACAAGTGACTTGACTTCTCCTCATTTAGGGTGTTATGATACGATCATACATGGGCGTCGAACGCAACAAAAAAAAAATGTGGGTGGGTCATCCTTCAGAATTTTTTTTTTTTTTTTTTTACTGTAGTAGATTAGGGGAGCGTCTAATCAAAAATTAAATAAAATATATATGCAAAAATTAGTGACGTGAATGAGTGAGAGCCAAAAACGATCACAAATCCGTCTATGCATGCAACTCTCAGAAATCAGAGCTTGGCAAGTAATATCCAAAACTGGCCCGCCAGCAATAATATCTCGCTCGCGCTGCAGTCTGAAAAGCTCTGAAAGACATTCAAAAAAAAGTCTGTGGATCGATAGACACACCTCTAAAATAACCGTCATGAAATGTCTAATATTATATGCGTCTCTTATCGTGCAAGTTAAACGCGAAAATTAGATATCATTCTTTAAACAACTGAAAAAGTGGAGAAAGTCTTAGTTTCTTGAATTATACTGTATATTGATAAACCTCATTAAGTTTAACAAATTAGCTCATTATCAGGTAAAATAAATATCGAATCAGTATATGCAGTCACTAAATTACAGCCAGATATTTTAAAGCTTGTAGAGAGGCAACAAGACTCAAGAGGCAACAAGACTCAAGAATGATTCAATTTTTTTATTATATTTATGCAATAACAACAGCACCAACAGACCTTTTGCATAAGGTGGTGCACAGTCTGTAGGATTCAACTCTGAGAGAGAGTGAGGAGGAGGGGGGGAGGGTAATTTAATAATTGAATAAGAAACATTTGTTTAACATGTTCAACTAAAATATAAATCTCTGATTTAATACTTATGCACTGTTGGAGTTGTATAGAGAGAATGCCTTATTCCAAACTCCAAATTTGTAAGTAGGTATAAGAGTAATATATACCTTTATTTAACCAGAAGAAAACTCTTGGAAAATTTCTTTTCCAAGAGATACCAAGAGATATTTCCAATACCAATTGCATGGTCTCCCTTCTTTCCTCAACTGTTTGTCGATCTTTCTATTGAATTCTTCCACTTCACTGAAATAGTTATCAGAGAACAATCAGTGTTGTGTTAACAGAAATATCAGTAACAAAAGGGTGCACTGGGAATTGTGCAAAAAATAATTCGTAATCTAATCTGACCTGTAATGATGATCCGGACCAGAAAGGAAGACCTGCTCAGCCTCCTGCAAGGAGACATTCTGGAGATGAAACATTTTATGTATGAAACAACATAAAAAACTGCACAAGGTATTAAAACCAGCAAGTATTACAGATATTAATATAATATTGTTTAGTGGTGTCATACCCTTCTATTTTGAAGCGCTCCATCAGAAGACACCACCACTTTCGAATGGAAGGCAACTTTGTTGAGTGGAACAGAGCTGAACTACAAAACGGGCAGTGAAAGTCATTGCAACATGTGGTGCATCTCTCCAACTCTGGCAAGGATCTCCCTTTTTGGATTGTTATGCATCTTGAAAAAGAGAGCCTAATTGTAAGAATATTTAGAGATCATCTCATTGAAAATATCCCAAGTACATTTTTTCATCATCTGTCCTACAATGATCGTAACCAAATCACAACCATGCAGAACATAACAGAAACTAAAAGATGATAACCATGGACTGTGCGTGGCGTAGGTCTGCAGATTAGACCAAATTGTAACAAACTATTTAAACTGCCATACGTCTCATTCAATCATGATTGCAAAACAACGTCAAAACGACAGGCTGATAACACTGTAGTGCAACCAGGCAGTTTAATTATGAAAGGTGTTTTTATACTTAACTAATATGGTAAAATAATGAGCAAGTTTTCACACTAATACAGTAAGCTACAGGTAAATCTTACTCATTTACATGCATTTGTCCTCTTTTTAAGTTTAATTAATGTGCTGGTAAAACTCAACACGGATTTAATCATGGCCACGAATTAGTAATGAATAAAACAAGAACACGAATTCTAAATTCGTCAGAATTAGTCATTAATTCTTAGTTAGCATTTCTAACTTTGGCTATGTACAATTTGCTTCATTTAAACGTTATAAATTAAAACTGAACTGAACGGTATACTCACTGTTGGATCGTGTTGGATTGGTGTCCGTGATCCAGTTCGATAGGGGGCGCTGACATGAAAAACTAGGGTCCTAAATCTGCGGTCATAGAACTGGGGTCCTGAAACTGCAGTCTCCGGTTGTGCAGGAATACCCTTCTTCTCGCAGCCAGCGCTGCAGCGTTAACTTCTTGCAACTTCAGCCCGAATTATATTTATAGAATATTAGCGGAGAGAGAGGAATCAAGCAGAAGAACTTGTGCACGAACAGCTGCTACATGACGTTTCAGAAAGGTAGGCTATGTTTCTTGTATGTCAGATTAATCTACAAAGATTTATTTTAAATAAGTTGTTTTTTGCTACTGCCTATGCTAATGCTACTGTTTATGTTAAAACACGCAAATACAATACAATCTTTTAAACTCAACCTTACAATCCTCAAATTAATTTATTTTATTAACTCTCTCTCTCTCTCTCTCTCTCTCTCTCTCTCTCTCTCTTTCTCTCTCTTTCTCTCTCTCTCTCATATGGGATGATAGTATCAAAATGATTCACACGTGGAAGCATATCAATGAACTTGATAAATGTTGCAAAATGTTTTACTCAACTAAATGCGCTTCAATAAACTTGCGTGTGCAAAATTCTAAATTTAACTAATGTGTAGCAATTTGTACAAATGGTGACATTTTTGTGAATGCAAATGCAATCTTTTGTATTAGTGTAATCTGTGCATCCAGTGTGCAAGCTAGTGTTATGCGTTTAAGAACGCACTCGAAGGCCACCACAATGTCGTAAATGCCACTGGGGAGGTCGGGATTGCGTTCATGTGCTATGGTAATTATGGTAAATACCAAAAGCCAACGTGGAAAATGCACATGAATGAACACCCCCTCATGTGGTATTTTCCACTGGGCAACTCGTAGAATATTTTGATGGCCGAGTTGCCGACATGAGATAACCTTTGATCTTTTCAAAATGGCGGAGAGCACCGTGAGAGTCGTGAATGGTAAAAATACTATTCATGATCTAGAAAATATAGGCTACAGCATATTATTTACCTTTTGAGTTTTGATAAATCATTTTCTTGCTGTTGCAGATGACTTAAGCAATCTAAAATAGTTTTAGCTAAATAACAGGCCTGGGTCTCCATCTTTTTACCACATTACGACAACACTTAGTGCGATATATCGGCCGATATTTTTATTTATTTATTATTATTTTTTTCAGAAACCCGCAACAAAACATTAACAGATTTCCCTAACAAAGTTATTTGTAGTTATATGAGTTTTAACTAATACGATAAAGCATTTTAAAAAGAAACTTGTTTCTTTTATCTTCACAGCAGAACAGAGGAACATCAAAATATATTAAAGTTCTGATAAATAAAATAATAATTAGTCCCTACATTGCCTTATAAGCTTACCTGCACTTTTTAAATTCTTTCCATTAAGCTACATCAAACCATTTTCAATCATCAGTTGCTGCCTGCCTTCTAAAACCTACTATTTAGCGATTATAAATCAAAAAGTGTTCAAAAGTGCTCAAAAACCTGCCTGGAACGCAGCATAATACTGTTTTTGACCCCCTTTCGCCTTCAAAACTGTCTTAATTCCACGTGGCATTGATTCAACAAGGTGTTAAAATCATTCTTTAGAAATGTTGGCCCATATTATTTTTCTATTTATTTAAGTGTACATTGGCGAGTATGGGTGTTTGTAAGGGCTAAATGCTGTAATATGTTTTGTATATGGATTTGTTTCCAATAGAGTGCCGAAGTGATGACGTCACTTTCTAGGACAACTCGGAAGCTAGCGGCACATGGGTTCCCTCAGTCGAAAAGCAAATGCATTTTCCCCCATAGACTTTTGGAAAATCGCAAAAAATAAGATCTGTGTTTAACAAAGAGTTGTGACCCTTAAGGCGGGCATACACTGTGCGATGTCTGTGTGATTTCAGCAAGGTACCTACTCACACTCAACGAGTAAATCGCATGCGATGCAAAGCCAAAGTTCAGGATTTATGTGCTCACACTGTACGGTCCGATCGTCGAGCTGCGACTTCACTGCTCACACTATACGTGTAATATCTGCGATAACCCCCTGGATTGCGCTTATAGATGTGTATAATTATAATATCTATCATTACAATATACATCCAGAGATATTGTCAAAACAAGCATCTGCTATCCATATCAAGATGATTTAGCATTTTCAGTTTTTGCATTTAATTATAATTAGGATTATTGTATTATCATTATTAGGGGAGGCCTATAGGCAAATTTTATTATTAAATTAATCCGCTATTGTAATTAATTTGCCGCGCAATATTTTCACAGCACATAACCAACGTGCTGTGAGGATAATAAAATATTACATAATTTTGCTCCTCATTAAAAATTGCCTAAAACATTTAGGTTGATTACAATGAATTATAGGCATATAAAATAGCTATTAACAGTCTATAATATCTCCAAACATTGCCATAATTATCATCAATGAAAATTAAAAACAGGTTTATTTCAAAAACATTGTTTAACAAATTAATAAAAGAGGTGTTACATCGCAGGTGGCTTGGAAGACGTGGGTAATATTATCCATTTTGCAACACGAACTGGAGGTAAGCAACAGTAATTTGTAGCTAGTTTGAACCACAGAACTTAAAGCTCTCTCTCTTTTCGTTTTTATTTTAATTTTATTTTTGCTGCAGATGAAATGGTTAAACTTCTGTTTTCGCGCAGGTGCAGTGAGGGAAAAAACACTGAATTTAGGGCAATCGGTTCGTAGCGTTGCTTCAACTGTGCGATATAGTCACGAGGAGCGACCAAAATTTCTGACATGCCAGAAATTCATTCGACCATCCGATTGTCGATCGTGAGAGGTTAATCGCCTCTCGTTACTCTCTGTACACTGCACGATCACTGCATGACAAACGACGCACGACAAAGCTGAAAATCGGTCCGACGTGAAAAAGAGTCGCACAAGTCAGAATTCGGCTCAAAATCGTACGAAAATCGCACAGTGTATGCCCGCCTTTACGCGTTTTGTCTATCAAGATCTTTACAAGTTAAAGGGTTAGTTCACCTAAAAATGAAAATTCTGTCAGTATTTACTCACCCTCATGTTGTTCCAAACCTCTATGTGTTTATTTGTTCTGCTATACACAAAGGAAGATATTTGGAAGAATATTTTAATCATTCCCAATTGACTACCATAGTAGGAAAAAATACATACTATGGTAGTCAGTGGGGAATGAGATCTGTTTGATTAAAACATTCTTCCAAATATCTTCCTTTGTGTTCAGCAGAACAAATAAAAACATAGAGGTTTGGAACAACATGAGGGTGATTAAATACTGACAGAATTTACATTTTTGGGTGAACTAACTCTTTAATCCAAAATTTAACTGATGATTTGGGCGGGGTCTGAGCCGGTCAGCCATTTTGAGAGGATACACTATTAGTTGCCAGGGGCAACGCCTTCAGAACTACACAGAGGCGCGACTAAATATGCCAGAAATAGCGAGAGAGAGAGAGAGAAAGAGACAGACAGCACAGCGCAGTATTTGTTTACATTTTAGTGATACACGGCAGTGTCTTTGGAAGATATGGAGAAGGAAGAGAAATGAAAGTGGTTCTATAACAATGCTAGCCAGGTTTATTTAGAGAAACTGCTTGTGGATAAACTGACAGCAGCAACAGCATGAGCAACAGTGAGCAAAGCATGATTTCCAAAGCAATACATTTCAGAACAGTTTGCCTTTTATTTAACACAAACAAACGAAATGAATACTCTGTTATTCAACTAGAGTTGTTTAATTTGTTATAGATATATCTGTACCGCGAAATGTTTTAAAAAGACACTTTTTTTTAATGACGTGCGATTCGCATTGACGGGAATGTCCTATCTGTCCACTTGACGTTGCATGGCAGGTGCAAATGCACGTATCTGATTCAAATCAGATTTATTTCCACATATGAATGAAGCCTGAAACATCAAGTTTGACTGAATTCTCGCTGTTTAACCTTACAGATTTGGGGGTTTCTCTAATGACTTAAAGCTTCTGAACTCTTGCATTGCGTAGCAGTAACGTTAAGCACTGTTACCATAAACCAGGTGCTTGAATATGTCAGGGTGTGTGAAAGGTGGTAGTGCGTCGGGTCTTTCGTCCATTCTGTAGCATGTCGTACGGGTCCTACTGTATGTTGATGACAAGTAGTTTCTCTAAATAACGCTGCCTAGTGTTGTTATGTAGTCTCACCCGATAGAGACCCTCTCCTTTCGTTCCATCAGAACGAGGATGCAAATGTTAAAAATAGCGCTATAGCGGGAGGGGGAAATCGGAAAAGCTACACTCCTGAAATTATGTATAATCTGACTAATCAAAGCCCTTGCTGGCTGCGTCGCTTCGACCCGTAGTTACAAATTTTTGGAGGTGCGCGGAGGGGTCGGAGAGGGGTTCGCGTCGACGGATAAGGGTCTGCAGGGGTACGCCGTCGATTCGATGCAGAAGCATAAAACAGGCTTTAGAGTTGCTATAGACCATTTTGCAAGATGTAAAAAACACTGGTCCAGAAGCACTTCCTGTTTCAGTTTGTAACTGTTTTCTTTATTTAACACGTAAAGAAAACATATTAAAGATGTTTGTTTAAATTTTTGATTCAGTTTTATATGTTCTGTTGGTTGTATTTTATCCCAGCTTTTATGTAGTGTTAAAAAACTGAAACAGGAAGTGCTTCTGGACCAGTGTTCTTTACATCTTGCAAAATGGTCTATACATCTATACTCGAGTGTCGAGTATACTTGCCTATACTCCAGTCGACACCTGGCCCTGTTCATTAGTGCTGCAGCAAGTTAGTTATGTTACCAAGTTAGAGTTAGGATTTAGGCTATGTTTACACGGAAACTAAATAAATGTGGAATACTTCTAGTTTTGTTTTCTTCTAGTTGTGCTGGCTGCTCTCTTAAGGGCCTGAGTGTGCTTGTGGTACCACGGCGTTGGCCTATTTTCTTTAATCTTCAAGCGCAAAGGAGCAACTGTGTCTAAAGTGCTGGAAAAGTTTAAAGTTTCTGTCACAATATCGAGTTTGTCTAAACTATCTGGGATGCTGAGATTATGAAACTGATCAGGAAGATTTTTTAATAAAAAAATCTTTAGTAGCAGAAGTAATAGGTCGAACGTATTTGTAACGGAGTCAGCTTTGCAGCCTTGGCTAAATAAAGTTTACATGAGACTAGACAATGATCTGAGATGTCATCGCTCTGCTGCAGAATTTCAACGGCATCAACATTGATTCCATGTGATATTAAATCTAGACTATGATTACTACAATGAGTAGGTCCTCCTGACACTTGCTGTCTTACTCCAAAAGAGTTAAGAATGTCTTTAAATACCAATTAAATACCTTTAATTACCAAAGGCATAAATTTGAAGGCGAAAGTTTGAGGTGAAATCCGCTTCTTGTGAGAGGGGCCAGTTCTACGTGGTTGCCCATTTGCAAGATGGCTTATGTTGATCGAGCATCCATCGAGAGTCACCGCTCGGTATTTGCTCTGTAGATCGTCGCCGTACTTGCGTCAACCAGACCCTCCGGAGGCTTTCCCAGTTTGGCAAGTTTCACCATTTGCTCCACCATTTGCTCCTTAATGACGGCCGCTTTCAGCGGTACTTTCGCTTGTCACGCGACCAGTTTGATGACCTGTTGTCCCACCTGTTATTGAGGCCAAACACATTAGATAACATTATAAACTGAAAACCAGGCCTGCCCCTGTTTATCACTTCATCACGTGACCGCAGCAAGCAGGCTCCTGGTTGGTTAACGCGGCGCGAATTGACACCACAGTTCCGTTTTTTCAACACGGCTTTGACGCGAATTTGTTTCACAGTCCACAAAAAGCACCAAATAATATCACTCGCGCCAGACTCTCAATTCGCGTCATTTGCGTGAACTGGACTCACGAATGAGGCAAATTCTTGCCCGCCACGTCGTGCTAAATGCCTCATTCACACCGCAGGACCTTCAGACACGTGTAGACTAGGGATGGCAAAAACTAAAAATTTTCTTGACCGACCACCGAGCCTCATTAGCCGGTTGAAACCGGTTAACCGATTGGTTTTAAAATATGCGCGCACACACCCCCAGCGCTGTCCTTCCACTCATGTCACTTTTTTTAAAATCCCCATACAGCGCGAAACACGAGTCCAGGGGGTCGCACACCGGACGAGAAGCTCAGTGCCGCGGAGAGAAACATCTTTCAAATTCGAACACATTATTCTCTATGAGTGTACACACCGGCGGCACCATTCAGCGTCTGTCCGCGGCGCCCAGCGACGACTCAGGACCGTGCTCAAAATCCTGCTGCGCCACAGAGCGCCATTTACATAGTTTTATCAAATTTAAATTATTTTTGTCTCAGATCGTTGCTAATGTATCCTGACTGCACCCTATGCGCAATATACGTGTAGTTTTGCATTCATTTACAGAAATCAGCTGCTTGAATGACAATTGCTGATGTTATTGGATTTTTCAGGTGAGATTCTCAATTCATTCAGTTAACGGATGCTCTGATGTAACGTTAAAGTTTTCAGACTGCAGACTCAGCAACGATTGTATTTAATTGTACAGTACAATCATAACATAGAACTGACATTATCTTCATTTCATGTCATTAAACATAACAATTTTGCTGGCCATACACTGATGAGAAAGTGCGCGTCCGGTGTGCACGCGAACCCAAACGCTGTGACCTCGCGGCAAATTTATTTATTTATTTTTTTTCACAGACTACCGTCAACTTTGATCGGTTAACGTTGATACGGTCAACCATCGGTCATCGGTTAACATCCCTAGCGTAGACTTGTCTTTACAGTGACGTAACATGGAAATCATTTGCGCCAGACACTCGATTCGCGTTTGCTGTGAACGCGGCATAAGACTTTGGCATATTCCTAGAGAGAAGAGCAGCTCTTTGAATTATTTTGATGTACTGAAAATTAAATGTAATAATTGTTTCTTTCATGTCAGACGTGATGGAAGAGAGCGGGGAGAGAGAAGAACTGAGAGAAGTGAAGGAGGAGAGAGAAGAACTGAGTGACGTGAAGGAGGAGCGAGAAGAACTGAGAGAAGTAAAGGAGGAGAGAGAAGAACTGAGTGACGTGAAGGAGGAGCGAGAAGAACTGAGAGAAGTGAAGGAGGAGAGAGAAGAACTGAGTGACGTGAAGGAGGAGCGAGAAGAACTGAGAGAAGTGAAGGAGGAGAGAGAAGAACTGAAAGAAGTGAAGGAGGAGAGAGAAGAACTGAGTGAAGTGAAGGAGGAACATCATGTCAAACCTGGAGGAAAACCTTTGAGTCGCTCAGAGACTAAACAGACATTTTTAAAGAAAAGAAGAGCCAAGAAATCTTTCACCTGCACTCGGTGTGGGAAGAGTCTCAAAAGCAAACAATTTCTTGAGATTCACACGAGGAGTCACACCGGAGAGAAACCGTTCTCATGTGATCAATGTGGCAAAAGATTTCTCTGTGCATCAGACGTGAAGAAACACCAGAGAGTTCATACGAAGGAGAAGCCGCATTCATGTTCTGTGTGTGGAAAGAGTTTTTCATGGCTGACTAATTTACGTAGACATGAGAAAACTCATACTGGTGTGAGAGAGTACATGTGCTTTGAGTGTGAGAAGACTTTTACTACAGCGGACATGTTAAAACAGCACCAGAGAAGTCACACTGGAGAAAAACCTTACAAGTGTTCACACTGTGACAAGAGATTCAGTCACTCATCATCTCTGAAAACACATGAGAGGATCCACACTGGAGAGAAACCTTACAAGTGTTCACACTGTGACAAGAGATTCAGTCGATCATCATCTCTGAAAACACACGAGAGGATCCACACTGGAGAAAAACTACACACGTGTGATCAGTGCGGGACGAGTTTCTCTATTAAAAGTCTCCTGAAGCGACACATGAGCGTTCATACTGGAGAGAAGCCGTTCTCATGTGATCAGTGCGGGAAGAGTTTCAGTCGATCATCAAACCTTAATGCTCACATGATGATCCACACCGGAGAGAAGCCGTTCACATGTGATCAGTGTGGCAAATCATTTCTTTGGGCATCAAACCTGAAGACACACCTCCTGAGTGTTCATATGAAGGAGAAGCCACATTCATGTTCTGTGTGTGGAAAGAGTTTTTCATGGCTGACTAGTTTACATATACATGAGAAAATTCATACTGGTCTGAGAGAGTACATGTGCTTTGAGTGTGAGAAGACTTTTACTACAGCAAACGATTTAAAACTGCACCAGAGAATTCACACTGGGGAAAAACCTTACAAGTGTTCACACTGTGACAAGAGATTCAGTCAATCATCAATTCTGAAAACACATGAGAGGATCCACAGTAGAGCTAAACTACACGAGTGTGATCAGTGCGGGACAAGTTTCTCTTTTAAAAGTCACCTGAAACAACACATGAAGATCCATGGTAAGTAGTTTATTTTCATCTGCTGAACAACAAAATCTCTTCTGTGTAAGTTAGCCACACATCACCCTTTAGTCAAATCTCTCGTCTCCACCTATAGCCGGCGTGTGGTGAGCACAGGACACTTGGGGTGCTTCTCATTTCTTATTTGTGCATCCTCGTTTCCTTTCCTCGCTTCCTTTCCTCACGTCTCAGCTCCACCCCCTGTAGGACGCGAGGGAAGGAACCGAGGAAAAGAAACGAGGACGGAGGAATCGAATAAAAGCTTTTTTATATACATTGGAATACTGGATCACTCGAGCCATCAGCAGCGCTAAAAGGAATCTGCCCTTATGTTGTTGAAGTTTGGTCATTTAAAGGTAGCCTGGTTCAACCAGACTCTAGTACATTTCATTTTTACATAGAGTCTGGCCTCTTTCCATTGAGAAACGTTTACTTCCTTGTAGGCGGGTTCTCTGTTAAAGTTCAAAACTATTGGATCTGCCCAGAGTCACTCAGGATCTGCCATAGCCAATCACTAACGTGTGGTCGTGACGTATGTCATGCGCCGAAACGGCTGGAAACAGCCCCTTTCACACAGCGAGTTGATCCCAGGAAATGGGAAATTGCCAGAACGCCTTCTGTGTGAACGCAAACACGACCTGGGATTGATTCTGGGATTGATCCCGGGTTGCCCAGACAGCAAACTGACATTGAATCAACGTGGAAACGACGTCTCTCATGACATTGAAACAACGTTGATTTTGCTCATCGAATTAACGTTGAACCAACGTCAGACGCGGCATTCTTCAAAGCTAAATGAAAATCGAAAATTGGTTTGCTTTCCTAACGTTGAAACAACGTTGATTTCAAGTTGATTTTCCGTTAGTTTTGAAAGAATGACGCGTCTGACGTTGGTTCAACGTTAATTCGATGAGCAAAACAATGTCAGATCAACGTTGTTTAACTTGTTTCGATGTCATATTTCCACGTTGATTCAATGTCAGTTTGCTATCTGGGTGGGGACCTAGTAACATTGCCGTAATCAGTCCCGGAACGCGCGCTGTGTGAACAAAAGCCAGGACCAATGCCGTAAAGGGTGTGTCATAGTGATGACGCTCGTGCCATCGCGCGACTCTGTTGCTCTTAGAAGAAAGTTTGTGTTCGTCATCAACAAAGAAAGGACGAACAAATACCTGCAAACTGGAGCGAAGCAGAGACCAGGAGCGCCTCACTATCCGTACTGAAGCTGAGATCGTTCACCAGCTTTGTGGAACGGTATACGCGTGTACGGTATGCGCGTTTACATGTTTTCGACGCGTCCGTTATACGTCTCATCCTGACGTCATGTGTCTTCCCGGGATTTTTACGGGTTGTGTGTGAACGCACTTACAGATCCCGGCAAATCACTTGCAGTGTGAATGAACCGAAATCAAACAATCCCGGGACAAATACTGGGTCACATTATCCTTGTATTTTCTGGAATCTCTGTGTGAAAGGGGAAACAGCGAGTCTGAATTGATCAGAGGATTATGTTTACAATAGGATTTCAGTCAATGAGAGCTGCAGGGTATGTTAATCTAGGAACAACTATTAATTTGAAATGTATATTTGACACGAAGGACAGTGATATATTCATTCAACGGTCGTATTCATTCAGCTGTGTCTAATCATTACAAATATGTGGACGCCGCTGCTGTCATTTCTGATCTGCCGCAAATGCTGTACAGTGAATGATCTGTCTCTATCTGCAGATGTGTAATAAACAACAATTTTTCATATTACGTCTTATTGTTTCTTAATTACCTTAATTATGGTCTTCAAACTATGTGTTTGTACATTTTTATATGGAATTTAGTTTTTTTATTAAAACAAATTAACCATCTAAAACTGAAAATCAAATTATGGTCTTCAAAGTATGGGTTTTCACATTTTTATTTATGACAATTATTTTTTAAAAATTACAACCAATTTGTATGATTTACAACATGTAAAACTGACACCCCAACCTCCTGCATGAGTAACTACAAAGGGGCTCAAAATGTTCTACTCATCACAAGAATCAGTAAATTTACTGTTGGGAATATGAGCTAAGTTACTGACATAACTCCTGAGTGCATATTCAACAACAGTTTAGCAGCCAGGACTCGGGGCTTCCGAACACCAGGCTACCAGCATCCATCCAAAATGTCACGTCATCGTGCACGAGCTGCCCAGCCAGCACAACCTTTCTGCCTCCTTCACTTGGTCCTCCGTTAGTGCAACGAGGTGAGACGACAACAATCCGGCTTTAATTTCTGTATATTCGGCAGTTTCTTTTCCAACAACGGACCGAATAGCTTTTCTCACGTCTTTCTCTGCTGCCATACTGAACTCAAACTGACGCGCTACATCAACGTCATTGTTTTCAGCCACTCCCTCTATCGCTGATTGGTCCTACAAAAAAAGAGTTCTGGAAACCTAAGAATATACAGCAGTCCCAGACGTAGTACTGAAGGAAAATGAAATTGAGTGGAAGTGCGTAGGAGGGCGCAGCCAGGCTAATTTAAAGGGGGGGTTGACTGCTATTTTTTCTTTGCATGATTATGTTTATAGGGTGCAATAAAACATGTATCCGTGGTTTTTCTTTTTTCACTAAACTTCTCCTTTATTGTAAGCCGCTTTCTCCTCTGTCCTCGAACGAGCGGTTGACTTCCTGAGTCTATGAAACCACTCCCTCAGAAACAGGCTGTGGGCTCAGATTGGTTAGTTTGGGCCGGTATGTTGTGATTGGCTAAACTGTCGCTTACGTTGTCCGGAAGGTTAACGCCCATTACCTTTACGGGCGAAACGTGCATGTCATGAGCTCCGGTCCAGATGTAAATATGTGTCGAACTGCAGTATCAGTTTGAGGCAGAATCAAACCGGGAAAACCGCGATGAACAGAGTCAAGCAGAAACTCACCACACACGGCTCTTATTAAACATTTCTGACTAATAATTAGCTAAATTTTTTAACTTTATACACGTTTGTTTTATACAATAGCATCTGACTGGCAACAATAGCAACTGACTGGCTACTAAACAGCTTGGCATTAGTTCTTGATCAAATCGAAAATGACGTCATAGAACATATATGAAAAATTACATTTACAACATTGGTACTTATACAAAATTCAGGTCCATAATGTTTGTACGCGTTTGTCGTAGACACAAAATAGCATAACTAGCAGCCTAGTGGCTATAAAGCCAGCACTGGCATTTGAAAAAAAAAAAAAAAACCACAAGGCTACGTCGGGAATTACATGCAAATACATTTAAAATGATTAAGTCTTAGCCTACTTACAGGTTGTGGCCCAACAACTGCTGCCTCTGGTTTTAAAGTTGGAACTGCTTCATGTTTTAGTAACAGTTTCTTGTTGAATCCGGTGTTGAATTCGTGGAGATTCTGGAAGCTGTCTTCCGTAAAATGCGCAGCACAGAGAGCTAAATTACGATCGTCATTTTCAGGAACATAATCAAACATAAATTGTATCCATTGTTGACAAAGTACAGTGTCCGTGGGAAGCCCGAACACAGAAGACCTGACAGCTGTGTGAACACAACACACTCGATGAGCTGCATAAATATGCACATGCCCTTTTTTGCATATTCCAGAGGTGATGTCTAAATAGATGTCTAGTGACGTCTAAAACCCAGCTGTAGTCCGAATCGAGTCGTTTTTGTAGGCATTAAACTTCCTGATTTTTAAAAGATGATATCTCTGCTTACATTGAACTTTCAGCGCTGCAACTTTGCAGATACTGTTCATGCACCAACCGCAACATTACACACTATTTAAAATGAAAAAAGTGAAATCGCAATCAACCCCCCTGGTTATTTAATAAATGCATAATAAATAATAATAAAGATAGGCTACACTTTTTTATAGAATATTAAGAGTTTATAGAATATTAAGAATTTAAACAAATGTACACAGGAAGATTCGTCGTCTTTTGGGAGGTGACTTTTGGATAGAGAAGTGGACATTGTATGATTGCATGTTGATTGGATCATTTGATTTAGCCAACCAAACTTGTCATCAACCCATCTATGCTTATAAACTTTTACATTACTATTTAATTTCTTCCACTGCAGGTAAGACTCCAGCCTAGTAAGTTAACCAGGTCAGGTCCAGTTTAAGAGTTCTGGGAGAAAAACAGCGCTCAGGAACCAATTTCTACAGTTTAATATCCTGCTGTTTTTAAATAAATAAAGTGTAAATTGCAGGTTAACCACCACAGCCAATTAATGTGTAAATTAAAGTGCTCAGTATGTATATAGTTAAAATTTCTGTCTAAAATGCGTTAAAATAACATTTATTGTGGTTTCTTCAAAGGGTAGCATGTTTTTTTACAGTATCTGGGTGATGACGTCAGTCAAGCGTGGGCGGTAATGCACTTACTCTGTGTGTTTGGACGTCACGCCCAGCCCAGAATGGAGGGGGCTTGCTTAAAACCACTGTAAAACGTACCAACTTTTCATATTATATGCAGCATTTTGGTATTAACAACATAAAAAACTATTGTGTGCAGTTCGTTTAGTAAGCATGTTGCATTATCTTCGTGAAAAATTTAACCTGCAATTTACACTCAAAGTAGTCTTTTATACATTTCTCATTTTAACCGATCATTTTAATAAAGCTTGAACATGATTTTTTTTTTCAGAAGTGTTGTTGTACACAAAACAAAACAAAAATTCACAGAAATTGTTTACCTATTTAAAAAAATGTATGCTAGGTTTTTTTATTCAATATATATATATATATTTTTATTCTGTGTGAAAAGATGTCATTAAATGTCAAGAACAGTGTCTTCATTTTAGAGTACACAAAATGACTGCAGCAATCCATATTACAGTAATTTAAAAAAATTATTTAAAAAATATTGTTGGTGATAAAACAGTACTGTGATTATTATTAATGTTTACAGTATTTTTAAAGTTACTGAGATTAAATTTACAGTAGGCATTCTGTGAAATTAACTACAGCAACTGACTACTTGCTAAATGCTGCCAGCAAGTTACTGTAAATTTCACAATTCTGTTTACAGTGCAGCAATGAGTATCTCATGATCACAGCAGAGAGAGGTGAGGAGTTACAAGAACACAGAGGAAGAGTTTGATCCACCTAAATACTGCAAACAGGGGTTGTCCACTGTGTGGATCCTCATCTTCAGGCGACTTTCAATGGAGAAACTTCTCTCCAGTGTGGATCCTCTCATGTTTTTTCAGATGTTGTGACTGACTGAATCTCTTTTCACAGTGTGAACACTTGTAAGGTTTTTCTCCAGTGTGGATCCTCTCATGTGTTTTCAGAGATGATGAGTGACTGGATCTTGTCACAGTGTGAACACTTGTAAGGTTTTTCCCCAGTGTGAATTCTCTGGTGCTGTTTTAACATGTCCGCTGTAGTAAAAGTCTTCTCACACTCAAAGCACATGTACTCTCTCACACCACCAGTATGAGTTTTCTCATGTCCATGTAAATTAGTCAGCAGTGAAAAACTCTTTCCACACACAGAACATGATTGTGGCTTCTCCTTCGTATGAACATGGAGTACGATGTCCTTTAGGACATCCTCAGACCTCAGACATATGAAGACAAGGCATCATGCCTCAGACTAAAAGGCTTCAGTTATGGACAAACTGAACTGCTTTTCGCGCCTCAAACTGAAAAGCTTCGGGTCTCAGGAAAAACAATGTCAGGTGTAAGGTTTAATCAACCAAGAGTTCAGTGTTTGACGGTATAACAAGCTTTATTCAGTGGCGCAGCACATAGCTAATGCAGATTTGAATGTTCGATCGCTCTGTGGTAGTATCCCTATATTACCATAATGGTCAATTTTTGTCAAATGTTTAGTCGTTGCCAAATGTTTTAGATCAAAACCGTGTCAAATGTTTAGTCGTTAAAGTAAGATTGTGTGTTTGTTTGAATCGAGATAGCGATCTTTTAATTATTAAACTGCTGCTTAAAGTGTCTCTCTCTTTTCAGGCTAGACATCATTATTAAAAAGAGTTTACATTAAATTCGATAAAACCTGTGCATTTGAGTAAAAGTATCTCAGTGTGTATTATTTCAGTATTTTCATACATCGAATTGTCAGTTACGCGGCATGCAGAGCCAGCATCAGTGGAATTTTTTTTTTTATTGCAAAAACACAGTACAAGTAACACAATATACATTACAATATACAAAACAATGACATTAAAATAATACAAAACAGTTTTGCCAGGGGAAGCATAAGGGCCATCACAAAGAAAAAAAGGACCATATGTTGACAGTTTTGATTGCCTTTTTGTTGTTGGAGCCAGAAATCAGCTTAATATAATGTACAACATCGTTGAAAAAAAGTACAAAGTTAGGTTTTTTAGCACTGAATTTACATTTATGAATATGAAATTTCGCCAAAATAATTAACAAATTTATAATGAAATACGTCTTTTCTTTCCTATGACTTCTATAAAAACAAAAAAAACAACATCCTTCCACAATAAAGCAAAATCTTTATAAACAGCATCAGTGGAATGAGTGGAACGCACTATAGAACGTGACGTCACAGTACTAGTAGACAGTACACAACACTGGTCGATTAAAAGCAAACTTTCTCACATTCTCTTCATTACTTTGCTGACAAATTTCTACTGGCATTTATTGCAGCGTAGTTATTTAGCATTTCAAAATGGGAGCAAACTTTTCTTGTGTTAATTGTGCACATGTTTCTGACAGTGTGGACAATTTACACAAAAAGGAGAAAGGCAAGAGGAGGAAGGCAAAAACCATCAAGACCAGCTCAAGTCAAGGTAAGTAAAAGGACCAGACATGTCAATGTAATTGGTATATGTAGAATATGTAAAGTTCTGTTTTTATAGTCTTATAAATAATAATGCTTAACCATTAATTGAAAACTTTACTAGAGAATTCAGTAACATAATATGCTTGACATATAATAGAAACTACACATCTTTGATGACAGATATGTGAATGCATTTAAATAGACATTCAAATGTATTACCTCTGTATTACCTCAAATTTTATTGAATGTGAAATTGCTCACGAATTATAATTATGCTGCATGACGTTTACCCAGTTGGCCAAATTCATTGTCTGAAAATGAAGATGTTGTGCTAATCAGATGGCAAATCAATGAATTCTACATTTGCATGTATGATGCAAATGTACACACACACACACACACACAACTAAATGAAATTTAATGCAGGGGACTTGGTGTATGTTTTAAAATTTGAAGTATTTTTAATTTGACACTTAAACAGAGAACAGAACATTCTCGCCTATTCTCACTGACCGACAACTGAGGAAGCAGAATGCACAAATTAGACCTCTGTGAATGCTCCCAAAAACTCGCTTCATTAATTACATTAGCTGCACCAATATTAGTGTCTAATGAATATGGTTTTGGTTAATCTTTTATTAATAGTATTTCATTAAAACCATCTTTTGGTTATATCAATTCCCTCTTTAGATCAGACTTCTCAGGATGTTCCCTGTACCAGTGAGGCTGATGTCCTCAGCGTTGCAGAGGAACCTGGTCATGCTGAAGTCGATGACGAGTGGAGCGAAGACGCCTTCCAGGACTTAGTGGGAGATTTGTCGGAATGGGGTGCCGACATCCTCAACTCTTTGAGCTCTGTCTTGATTGTTGACGTCCTCCAAGCTACGATCTGTGCCACATCTGACTATAGAGTTCCAGTCCTAGATGTGGCCTCCTATAGAGCCAACGTCCGTCGAGTTCCTGTCCGAGATGTGGCAGACTGGAGTGTGGACGTCCCCCAGGTCCCAGTCAGCACCACATCAGCTCCAGGCTTGGAAATGGCTGACTGTTGTGTTGATGTCCCTCCAGTTACAGTCTGTGCCACGTCAGACTTGGAAGATGATGTCCTTCCAGACTGGGAAGATGATGTCCCTCCAGTTACAGTCTGTGCCACGTCAGCTCCAGGCTTGGAAATGGCTGACTGTTGTGTTGATGTCCCTCCAGTTCCAGTCTGTGCCACGTCAGACTGGGAAGATGATGTCCCCCATGCCGGACCAACAGGGGACACTGTATCTGAGAATGAGATTATCTGTAAGTTGACTGTCATGACTCCAACACAACACAATACAGACAAACTTGTGTTGTGATATTATATCTGTCTTTACTCATGTCAACTCAGGCAAAAAGCAGTTTTCATGTCAACTCTTCTTATGTTTCTTTTAACAGACGTCGGTTGCTGGAGCTATGAAGTCGGCAGGAAGCTCGGTGAAGGCGGCTTTGGAAGCGTTTATGCTGGGACTCGCTTGAAAGATGGCCTTAAGGTAACACTTATTTTACTTGCATTATCTATCAAAGTTTTCTTGCACTGTCGTCTATTCGAATAACTCTACTTTTAAATTGTTAGACATGCTCTACTTGATTAGAATTTAAATTCATGAAACTGAACTGGTCTGTTCAAGGTTGATGGCTGAAATATGAACTGCACACACATTGTTAATAATTCTAACACAAATCCATTTTTTGTTTTGTTGATTAGGTGGCGCTGAAATTCGCTGATACCGTGGGTATTGAGTGGATCGACATTGTAAGTACTCTGTTTCTCTCAGTCAATTTTTCAATGGACAAACTGCTATTGTCAGTATTAGTAGTGTTCTACATCTTTTCTCCATGTAAGATCATAAGAATTGTCTTTCTTCTAGGAGGATAATCCTGAACCCGTTCCACTGGAGATCGGTCTGCTAATTCTCGCCAACAAAGGCCCCAGGGTTCCCGAGATCATCCAGCTGCTGGACTGGGACGAAGAGCCAAATCGTTACATCATGGTTCTAGAGTTCCCTACACCCTGTGAGAGCTTGATCGAATATCTAGACCGGCACGACTACTACATCGAAGAGAACGTGGCAAAGGTCATTATGCATCAGGCAGCAGTTGCAGCTCAAACATGCTGCCAACGTGGAGTGTTGCATCGCGACATCAAGCTGGAAAACCTCCTGATCAACCCGGATACCCTGGATGTCAAATTGATTGACTTTGGATGCGGCGAAATCCTGACCGACGCGGGATACACGTCCTTTGCTGGTGTGTATTATTCCTCAGAGCTGTAATGTGGGTCTCAAACTTAGATGACAGAAGCCGTCAAGGTCTTACAAAGTATCATGTAATGGGATCCACCATTCTGAATCAATAGCATCAAATCATTTCTTGCATGCTAATGAATACTTTTTTCTCTTTTTTCCAGGCACAGAAGAGTACTGCCCCCCTGAGTATAACTTATTCGGCTTGTATCACGGGAAACCTGCGACGGTGTGGTCACTCGGGGTACTCATGTTTACACTGGTGTGTGGGGAATTTCCAACGTCAGATGACTTGGATATGCTAAATTACAACATCTGGACAAGAGATGGCGTATCACAAGGTAAGATCTTAATTTCAGCAAAGAACACTTGCAATTCTAAATCATACAAAATAGAACCAAGTAATATAATGGTTGTGTGGGTAAAGCAGTAATATTTAGCTATTTCAGCTTTAATCAAAGAGAACGAGTGTGAAGTTTAAGGTAATAATAGGACGTCTCTTCTCTTTCTTCACAGAATGCTGCCAATTACTTTGCTCTCTCCTGCAAAGACACCCATCGAAGCGGCTTAAATTGGATGTTGTCTGTCTCCACAAGTGGTTTAAGTACTTCATATATAGATTTTATGAAGAAAGATCAGAAGACCTTCTACAGAATGACTTGCCACCCGACTGGGGAGATGATGTTCCTCCAGTTCCAGTCTGTGCCACGTCAGACTGGGGAGATGATTGATGTCCCCCATGCCGGACCGACAGGGGACACTGTATCTGAGAATGAGATTATTTGTAAGTTGACTGTCATGACTCCAACACAACACAATACAGACAAACTTGTGTTGTGATATTATATCTGTCTTTACTCATGTCAACTCAGGTAAAAAGCAGTTTTCATGTCAACTCTTCTTATGTTTCTTTTAACAGACGTCGGTTGCTGGAGCTATGAAGTCGGCAGGAAGCTCGGTAAGGTAATAATAGGACTTCTCTTCTCTTTCTTCACAGAATGCTGCAAATTACTTTGCTCTCTCCCGGCGTGTCATGATCTGTAGAAGAACGAAAACTAAATCATCACGATTGTCTTTCACGATAATGAAGTATTTTTTTTTTAGTGAGACACTGAAATGTCGGCAGCCAAAAATATTCATGATTCAACAATAGACCCTGACACATTTAAAGGGATACACCCAAAAGTTAAAATTCACAACTACCACTTTGGTACTTTAAAAAGTTCATAAAGAGATTGATGAGCGGTTTAGTCCATAACTTTTCTGAAGAGACTGAATCGCTTTGAATTTAGGCTTTTATTCTGAAGATCTTTTATTTGGAATGTCACGAGGGCGAGTAAGTAATGAAAGATTTTTGGGTGAACTATCCCTTTAAGACGTGCCACCTGAGAAGCGCTATTGAAATGTCACCATATGGTCCTTGATTTTGGCCCTACAAAACTATTTCGTCCAAAACCGAAAATGAATCTCTACCACTTTACTACTTGTTACATACAGCACAATATAAACATCAAAAGATATGTAATCGCTCAGTCAGTTTCTACAGTGGAAAAACGTCAATACAAAACAGCTTGTAAACAATTTATTGAAACATCAGTTATCTTAGGAAAATCATTAAATGTCCACAAACTCAAGAAAAAAACTGTGCGATTAAAGCTGTATCGGTAGGCTATTTATAGATGTAAACCATTGTCGGTATAACGATACAAAAGCGTCCGATATAGCGCTTGATGTTTTTATATTAAAATGTGCGCAGCACTTTACCCATCTTAGTTCATTTGAATTCGCCACAGAAGTAATAACATCACGGCGAGATTTAGTAAGAAAGCATTCAAATGTCTCCGTTATTAACTGTAGATCTGTGTTAGATCAAAAACGTTTTCACGTTTTGACGTGGAAACCAGGAGAAACATTGTGCAGTGAATAATGTATAGGTTTTAAGTCCACAGATCAGCAACATTCACCATGGATTTAATGTAACACTGTAACCATTAAAAGTTTGGCAGAAATAGTAAAATGCTTTCAAGTACATGTAACATGTAATTTTTCCAGCACTTCAAAACTCAAATATTATCATATTTAGGCTACATGTTATTTTTAATGTGATGACCAAATCATAATTTGTTAATCCTTCAAAGGTTACCCCCATTCATTAAACTAAAAGTTTCAAGACTCACACTTATTTAAAAATATTTTTTCTTTTAATAATTTATTATTTTTTAAATCAAGGAAATTTCTTTCTTTTTGCTGTATCGAAAACGTACGAACTGCGACACAACGGTCCTATCAAACCGAACTAAATTTTGTGAACATTACATCCCTACTTATTACAGATGCTGATCTACCTCAAAGTGTCAGGGATCGGAAGACACAGACTGGTAAGTTGAACTGGTTTATTGAAACAGATGCACAATGAGGAATGGCAGGTGTGTAACGGGTTGGAGGATAATTGAAGGTAGCCTATCTCAGAACAGTCTGATTCAAAGTCTCTTATCTGTGCAGGATGATAGGAATCGGTAGGCAGGCTGAAGAGGGAATCCAGAGGAACGGGAACAGGACTGAAGATGAACGATCAGGTGAAGGACTGGAATCAGGTAGGTATCAGGCCAGTAGCGTAGTAGGAGTCTGAGGTCGGATCTATCGACGAGACCAGACAATGAAGAAATGAACGGGTGAGTCTTTTATGGTGCTGGTGAATGAGACGGGGATTGAGTGCAGGTGGTGGTGACAGGTGATGGGCTGCATCCGAAACCGCATACTTCCCTACTAAATAGTATGGGAAAAAGAGTAGGCGAGCGAAAAGTATGTACGAATCATAAATGAGTAGGCGAGAATTATCTAGGTGACGTAGGCCTACTAATTATCGCGAGATTTGGACGTACGCACATAGTGCGTCCGAATATGGCTACTTTCTATACAAATCAAACAAACAAATCTATAAAGTAACTAAACATGTTATATTTCATTTGTCCCTTATTAGTGTTGATATATCGAGGAACATTTAAGTTGGATTAAAAGTGAGTTAACACATCAACCTCAGCATGTAAATGCAGTGTTGAGCAGTGTATGTTACAGGGACAGAAGAAGACGCGTGTGTTTATCCGGTGGAGAGAGGCTCGTGATGCTGAATGCTGTCATGAAAGGCTTTGAGTGAGTATACTACAGAAATGGATAACAAAATCTGTTAAATCTTAAGTTGTAGTTTATTTGAATTATTGTAAATTCAAGTAGAGAAATTACAACACTTTTTCTGATTCTTGATTTCTGTGCATTTGCTGCCGAGCTTTTGTGGTGGAGCAGGACCTGCAAGGAAAGATGATGGCAGCATTTGTTTTAGGGATTTTACTCAAATATAAAGTTTCAAATTTTTAATAGATAAATCAAATGACATTGTGTGTTAAAATGACTGCTTTTGTATAATGTTTGTGCATTTTTGTAGTATCTGAAATGTCTGCAGACTGGTGTGAGCACTGAGGATGAGGAGCCCAGAGGTGCATCCTGGAAGTGGTGCCATGGACACCTCATGGATGAGGTGCCATCTCTCCACCTGCCCTTACGAGACCCTCCATCTCTCCACCTGCCCTTATTGCCTCAGATTGTGAAGTGCAGCGCAGCGCAGTAACAAGCTCTGGGACGAAGGCCTCTGGTGAATTCATCAGAATGGGAACTGATGGATGTGGTGTTCAGCGCCTGTAAATACATGCTTGTAGTTTGAATAAAGCTTTGTTTCATGTGTTGTTGACTTGTATATGCATTTGTTTATTGTGATGGTTACTTTTATTTGTTCTTTTACTCATTTATTCATTTTTCTTATTGTTGTCAGTGTAGTGACTGTCTTAACATTAATCAGACACTCAGCAGGGTGAGGGCTAGATCCTGTTTTTGACGCGCTATTTGTCCACTTCGGATGAATTTAAAGTCCACAACGTTTAGCGTCTTTGGGTGGTGTTCCCATTTAATAGAAAAATAGTTTACAGAGTTCAAAGTATATGCAAACGTGAGGACTAATCTAGCTGTGGCGTGCCAGCGGTAAAAACCGTGTGATCTCCCCGCCACCCTAGCATAATTCCCCACCCGCTACACCTGTGTATTAATTAGCTGGCGCGCCTGTGCCACCGTGAACTTGGATACTGTAGCACAAGCACACTGCCCTCTAGTGTAGACAACCACCACAACATCAACAATAACTAATGGCTCCCACAGTCAGTATATACAATATAATTTTTTAATTAATGTATGCATTAATTCATCGATTGACTGACAATTGAGATGTTTCACTCTTTTTATCAACATATGACAAAACAAATTACATTTTGCTTGTTATATTAAATTATATTTTTAGTATATAAAAAGTTATATAATTAAGTTTTGGTCAGCATTTAATATTATTTTGGGGTGGGCTAACAATGCAATTCATTCTGGGGTAATATTATTTTTAAGGAGTGATACTTACATTTTTCGAGTATAAAATCAACAGTTTTCTCCAAAAGAGATCTTCGAGCAGCTGCCCGTCTCCTTTGTACAGACATTACAAACGCAGAGGAAAACTGTTCTAGGTTGTGCTGTCGAGTCACTGATGTTATGAAGTGTTAGTGCACCTGTCGCTCATATAATATAAACTTATTACATACAAGATCATGTAAAGATACTGTAACAGTCATAATGACAAAACAGAAAACATAAAGATCATTGGTTTGTGTACATCATAATATTTATACACAGGAAAAAGGAACAATAACAAGGCTAAATATCTTTAAATAGTTCTTCATAATACATAAAAAATGTTGTTTTGTTGTTGTTGTTATAATTCTGAGGGATGAAACGAGGTAAATTCATCCAGAAAAGGAGGAAAACTTAAAGGAAAAACTTTTTGGGTAATAAAGAAATTTTACAACATATATTCAAGAGGTGACGATTTTGGGGTTTCTTAATAAAAAAATATCGTTGTAAGAATAACACTGGGTCACATTAGTAGGGTTTAAAATATTACAACAAATCAACCTTAAATGTATTCACAAAATAAATGGGCAGCTGTTTCTTCAACAATACCACAACAAAATTAGCAAGTTTCATCAATGTCAAGATAATTATTTATAGATAGAAGAATTAAACGTGTCGTTGTTCATTTATTTTAAGTTGTTGTGCTTGTATGATGATAATGCGTCGTAGTAGGACACATGATAACATCAACATGGCAGAACCCGAAACATCAGGGGCTGGGGTGGGGAATAAGATAGCATGATTCGACACAGAGAATAATACATATTGCAGGCCTATGCAGCGGCAGACTGGCATCCCTGGCACTGTAACCATACCAGCCCACATTACCACACAGTCACACACATTCAAAGGTGAGGAAGTTAGGGGGGTTCGGGGGCATACTCCCCCGAGAAAATTTGGATTTCTCAGACCTACATGTGTGCATTTTAGGGTGTTTAAAGGTCATAAAAATGGTATAACAATAGCTTTAAAAGTATGTCAGTGGGCACTGGCAGTAGCATAAAAGATGACAGATGTTGAAATGAATGATCCTGTTACAGTGGAGGCTCCCGCTCCGCCTCCTCTCCGCCACCAGAGGGAGCCTTCGCCGGAGTATTGATCATTGGCCTTGAACTCAAATTCCCATCATGCCTCTTACCTGGGACTGATTGCGCCACACACCTGCACCGCATTTACACACACACACACAAAAGCCACCTTCACACACACATCACTGTGAAGTCTTGATTTGCCCCGGTGATCATTTCGGAGCGGTTATGCCTGTTTCTGGTTTTGACTTTGGACTGTTTGACTATTCTACGAGTGATATCTGCCTGGCCTGATCTTGGACTGTCTTTGGATTGTGTTTATTGCTGCCTGCCCCGAACTCTGCCTGTTATCTGGATTATCCCTTTGCTCTGCCTGCATTGCTCTGTCTGCCCGTTTTGACCCTGCCTGTACGACACTGTTTAATAAAGCTGCAAATGGATTCTTCTGTGTTCCGTGAGTCATTACAGATCCACGCTTGGATGCAAATGCAGAATGTTTCTGCTTATTGTTGACCATACACAATCCATATTCCTAACAGGAATGGCCTTAATGAGAAATCTTTCAAGGATTATTTTGCATAGCCTAGATGAATTTCAATCAAACACCAGTGCAATCTTTTTGTGTCAAGACGAAAATGAGCAATTTATATATTAGCATTAAAGATTGGTTTCAGCAACTTGTTTCTTTCTAAGGTTAGATAATCAATTTTTTTGGCACTAATCTGTTAAATTAAAGTTAAATTGTTCACTCATAAAGACAGTCACTTGTCGCCACCTACTGACTTACTTAATAATGCAAGTTGGGCAAACACAAGCAGAGTGATCAATTGTGAAAAGGCTGATACTGGTGAAATATTTGAACACATTCGAGGACCATACAAATAAATATACTTAAAAATGTTATACTAAATATATATTCTAAATATATATTTATACTAATGAATTGAGCTTATAGTTTATGTAATTAGCAAATAACATCTGTGATAAATAGTAATATATTGTAATAATGTTAATCAAGCCGACTAAATCACATGACTGCGATGTTAATTCTCCATTTTCAGTGTATGTTTTATAAAAAAAAAATAGACATTCATTAGGCTTCATTAAAAACGTGACATTTAGACGTTTTCTTTGGGGTGGATCCAGGCAAATGAATCCTTTTCACCTTGAAAATAATATATATATATATATATATATATTGCATTTTAAATAATAGAACATTTCTCAGTGATCGTAAATAAAACAAAATTCCATATTCCATTTTTCTCGGTTTAATGAAAACCTGACATCTACACATTTTCCAAAGTGGACTCTTTAGGCTGCTTCATTAAAAATGTGTCATTTAGACGTTTTTTTCAGCGTGGATCGAGGCAAATGAATCCAGTTCACCTTGAAAATAATAAATGTTTTTTTTTGCATTTTAAATATTAGACCATTTCTCAGTGATCGTCAATAAAACAAAATTCCATTTTTCTCAGTTTAATGAAAACCAATAGGTAAGTTTCAGTTTAAGTGTAAGTTTCACGTTTGAGGGGGTTTAAACCGTGACATCTACGCGTTTTCAAAAGTGCACCAAAGTGATTATTTCACGTCTTGTCACGATACCGGGTTAAATTAATATTGTTTAGGCCACTTTTGTTTGATATAATCACAACAAATTAACGCAAGTATGGGAATTGAATTCAAGTCTTCTTGATTAAAGCCCAATGCTTTATCAACTGAGCCACAGAGTCTGTTGAGTTCAAGGGTGTATTGGTGTTTTGCGGGTTTGGTTTTATTTGTTGGAAAAATAAATATAAAAATATAATTTGACACAAGAGGGCAGTATAGCCCTATTTATGGTTCTGAGTTTAACCGTGACATCTACACGTTTTCCAAATTGGACCAACGTGATTATTTCACGTCTTGTCGTGATA